TCTGGGACTGTGCACACCGTGGGCCAGGGAAGCAGGGCAGACCAACGACTCACAAAAGTATAAATCAAGAGGCTGCGCACAGCCATTCATTCATTTCCTGCGGAAGCCATGCGGAATCGCTGCCTCAGCGTCTTGTGCGAGGAGGTATGCAGTGCGCCCGAAGTCGAAGTGGGCAGAGAAGCGTAGTATAGTGATAGGGTAGACGCAGCAAGCGCTGCCATAGCTATAGTAGTGTTAGTGTGTGTGTTGTGTGAGAGGGCGGAGTGTCGTGTGTGGGATATCCAAGGTGATCCTGAGTGTGAACAATGAGATGTTGGGCGCACAGTCGCCATAGCCAGTGGAAGTGAACTTACCTGGAAGCCATATCTCTGTGTACTGTGTGGGCGCATGTCGCCAGTTCGTTGCGCTGCTGTTCACGTGCATGAAAAGTGTGAAAGAGTCGAGTCTGATTGCAGTGGAACGGCGCCCAAATTTCCTGTTTTTCTCCCACTCTTCGGATCGGTATCTACTATTTTTTGGGGCCACCCTCGGTATTTTCAGACGTTAATACAGAGGACCAGCCCATGACCTAGTGTTTTTTGGTCACCGCTGTACACATCTCTCTCTCTCTCTCTCTCTCTCTCTCTCTCTCTCTCTCTCTCTCTCTCTGTTACATGCTGCGCGTGCACACACAGGCCATTTTGCAGGCCTGCGTCCGTTCAGGCTAAAAGCCTGAACTTCAGGCCGAAAGCTTGAATTTCAGGCCGAAAGCCTGAAATCCAGGGCTTACAGGCCCCCTGTAGGCTCAGGCCGAAAGCCTGAATTCCAGGGCCTGTCCCTGTGTCATTTCAGACTAAAAATGGCAACAGCATTTTTAGCCTGAAACGAAGGGCCATTTTCGGTCGTTCATCAGAACGACCGGCCCTGAAACTCAGGCACCGAATCAGGGTTTCGGGAACAGACTATTAATAGTCTGTTTTCCACGCCAGCCTCAAGCAGGCTACTGCACGCCAGCCCCTGGCAGACTTCGGCATTGGCAAGAGCTGCCTCCTCGGCCTGACTGGCCTCCAGTAGTCAGGAGGCAGGCCGAGGTAGTACATAGGACTTCCCAGGCACTTC